TTATAGACCTCTATCCCATCCCCCCTTAGTCTCCTCTTTTCTAAGCTTAAAAGTCCCAGTCTTTTTTAATCTCTCTTCATATGGGACCTGTTCCAAACCCTTCATCATTTTTCTTGCCCTGTTCTGAACCTTTTCCAATGCCAATAGATCTTTTTTGAGATGAGGCGACCGCATCTGAATGCACTATTCAAGATGTGGGTGCACCATGGTTTCATAGAGAGGCAAAATTCCAATTGCTGAATTGGAAAAAACTACATTGCTGAATTCCGATCTGTCTTCCTCCACAAGTCTGCCTCCTGCTGCTGCAGAGACAGCACTCCGTGCCAATTGCCTGGTGCCTTCTGCCACTCTAGCCCATCTCCCCAAACCAAATGCTGCCAGCCACCTTCTTGCACATAAGGACCGGTGACCGCACGCCACCCCAATTCCCGTATTTAAGAATCTGGTACAACCCCAGCCACCCCCGTCCTTTTTTAACAATGCTCAGATTTACGTCTGGTGAGAAGGCCTCCCCTGGTATCTCCATTTTGATCAACAGCTCTTTTGTAGTCTGACAGGAGCCGTCATTTCTTCCTGACCTCTGCCTCCTGTGTTTTGGGTCTTTCTTGAACGCCATCAAGGATCCTGAGCAATAGTTTGGTCTGAGGCCAGGTCTACACTGGGGGAGGAATTTGATTTCAGATACTCAACTTCAGTGGTGAGAATAGTGTAGCTGGAGTCAATGTACATTAAATCGAATTTCTCTGGCATTCCCACTGCAAGAGACTGACAGTAGAAACTCTCCCGTTGGCTTCCCTTACTCCGCACGAGCCCGTGGAGCACCAGCAGTGCCACCAGCATTCAGTTTAGCGGGTCCTTACTAGATCCACTACACTGAACCCTGGAAGATCTGTCTCTGGAGCGTTGATCTCCGGGTAAGTAAAGACAAGGTCTCAGATACTAAAATAAAGTTGCATTGAAAGTCATTGACCATCTCACTTCATAGATGTTAAAGGCTTCACAGAGCTGACCTGGCCGGACAGGGATCTGAGCAGAGTCGGTCAACGTTTCCGACGGAATAAACCACTTGGAAAATGTAGTTTTGTCTAAACTGAAATGTTCCCAGAAATGAGTCAGCTGACGAGTTGACTGGAAAATAGCAACACTAAGTCATCTTTGTTGCATTAAAATATTGGCTATCATAATCAATGTTTTATGTTATGCACTGCTGTTACTGAAACAAAGCATGTTTACCTTATCGCACCAACTGGATAGTCCTAAACTGAATTTTCTAGATGGGACAGTTCCGCTCTTTGTTCCTATTTGGAACAGCAAATTAAAAAAATTGAAATAGTCAGTGAACAGAAATTCTCTTTTCCTATCAACTCTACTTACAATTTCCTCCAGTGGCCAAGACTGGGGAAAAAAAGAAGACTCACACATATAATGAATAGTGGTAGAAATGTAGCCATGTTAGTCTGGTGCAGCTGAAACAAAAAACAGGACTGGGTAGCACTTTAAAGACTAACAAGATGGTTTAATAGGTGATGAGCTTCCGTGGGCCAGACCCACTTCCTCAGATCAAATGAAGGACTTACACGTGTAATAATACAGAGACACCAGTAAAGTGTAAGCAGAGTTAAAATTGCAACTAGGGTTCTAATGAAAGGTAGATTTTCCACCCAACTATCCAACAACACATCTAACTATCATATGGAAGATTAACTCTGTTGGGGAAATCTCGCTCCCCTGGGGTACAGAGTCCCCAGAAGGGTCCGAGGCTGGAGGTCAAAGCAGTGAGGCAGGAGAGAAATCTAGAAGGAAAACTTTATTATGCATGCAAGCAGGCTGACAGCTACCAGGGTGAGAGCAGCAGCAGCTCTGAGAGTTTCAGGGATGCTTTATACAGTATGTTCAGTTGTTGATTGTTTTCTTTAACATATCAAAGTCTCAGCGAGGTTTCTGTTCACACCAGAAGTGCTAGAAGTAAGTTTTACAGTACAACAGTGATAGAATGAGAACTTGAGTGAGGAGTCTACAAGGCAACCTGTGACAAAGATAAGAGTTTACATGACAATTTGTGACAGACTAGGAGTCGCCATGAACTTGAGATAGGAGGCATTGTAAGGGTCTTGATTAGAGTTAATTTGATTTCTCTCTGTTACAGGGAGAGAGGCCTGGAAAACTTTTAACCCTTACAGCAGTTTTCTTTTAGAGAGTTTTGATTTCCTGCACAGTCCCCCCTTAGACACAATTGGAGTTATTTGATTTTTCTCCCACAACTCCTAGGTTATGTCTACACAGTGGAGCTATTTTGGGATACCGGAAGTATCCTGAAATATCTATTCTGTTATTTCAAAATGAAATGGGATCGCTATTCTGACATCCCTGTAAGCCTCATTCCATGAAGATCACGGGATGTTTTGGAATACTGGTTTAATTGAGTAGCTTATTTTGAGCTAAGGGTGCAGTGTAGACACACACCTAGTGGTCAGTCATATTGCTCTGGTTTAAGGAAACAGAGCAAGTAGTGTCAAATAAAGAACTGTGACTTGACATTAGTAAGCATCTCACATTTTCCCACATGGGAAGGATGAAGCCTTCACTTTGAGACACAAGCTTCCCCGGACATAGCAAAACAGGCATGGATTAAGGCTGCGTTCGGAAGAGTTTCTTTGCTGAGCACCATCAAGATTTTGTCCGTGTTGCCCTTCTGTGGAACAGGAATAGAGGCCTCGCGGGTCAGCTTTCCGCCGGAGGAGATTTGATTGATGTGGCGTACAAGTATAGTCCATCTGTGTTTATTCTCACACCCTAGTCCTCGCACGGAGGTTGTCAAACAATACGCAGGCAAAGCTGTGAGGTCTGAGGCCCTTTTCTGCAGCCATTCTAGGGGAGCAGCAGGCATGAGCCCAAAGGAGCAGAAAACCACATCCTCGCACTCCTTCTAAATTATATTAAAACAAGGTAACATCCGGCTGCTCCCCTCAACAGCACATGTAGATAAGCAAGGAATCTCTTTAGATGTAGAAAGAACAATTTGTTTGATGGCATTCAGTCTGGCAAGGCATCACTTACCAACAATGGTGGGGGCAAAAACTCTAGTATTTTGCTTTTATGGTCTCTACTTCTCTATTGGTGAGTGTCTGGTCCTTTTAGGGTGTCTGACCATTGCATAATTAATTTTGCAAGATTTAAATCAGTGAAGGTGGGTGAGGTGGGACTGGTTTCATAATGGGCTAGGATGGGTGCAAAATACCTTATATACAGCCTTCTGCTGCTCCAGTAGATTGTAGGAGGCCTTTGTGACCCTTCCCAGCCACCGTCACCCCCACCGGGTGCAGAAAAGCAGAGCCCTGCTCTCGATTTCGACACAATGGGACCAGCTTCCATAGTAGCTGGGGCAGGAATCACCCTAGGGACCTGCTATTCCGGCAGAGGTGGGTGCACCCTGCTTTCAGAGAGGAGGCACCTTACACTACATGTTCCTACTCTTCCCTCTGGGAGCAGGGTGGCTCGGAGGCCACCACGGAGCATTACTGCTCCTTTCCCGCCAGGGTGCGTCAGAGCAGGATTTCTGAGTTCAAGAGCAAATTCAGCCGGCCAATGCCATCGTCCGAACCTCTTGCATTCACCAGCAGTTCCCTTTCGCACTCCCTTCGCCCCATTCTGAAGTGACTCCCTGCCTCCAGCTAGCCCAGAGGCGCACGTCACCGGTTCCATCAGCAGAGCCCGATTCACCAGGTTCCACTGACAGGCATCTTCAGAGAGGAACCCCCGCACGAAAGGGTGTCTAGCGGTTTGGTTTTATGGAAAGGGATGAGATCTGGAGACGGACGCTGGCTCTGTCCAAGGTCCTGAGTCAAGAACTGACCAGTCCCGTCCTCCTCAGTCCCAGGCACGCAGTAACAGCCCCCATCTCCCTACCCCAAGCAGCCTTCTCCGTTGCAGATTGTCAGGGGAGTCCTGTTCGAGCACTTCCTGCCTTGCTAGCGAGCCAATCAGAGCCTTTGTACTCAGCTAGAGTGTCGGATCCAGTTCTGGGCCCCACATTTCAAGAAAGATGTGAAGAAATTGGAGAAGGGCCAGAGACGAGCAACAAAAATGATGAAAGGCCTAGAAAACATGAGCTATGAGGCAAGGCTGAAGGAATTGGGCTTGTTTTGTTAGGAAAAGAGAAGACTGAGAGGGGACATGAGAGCCATTTTCAGGGATCTAAAAGGGTGTCACAAGGAGAAGGGGGGGGAATTGTTCTCCTTGGCCTCTGAGGACAGAACAAGCAACAATGGGCTTAAACTGCAGCAAGGGAGGTTTAGGTTGGACATTAGGGAAAACTTCCTGCCTGTCCGGGGGATTAAACACGGGAATAAATCACTGATGGGGGTTGTGGAATCTCCAACATTGCAGATATTTCAGAGCAGGTTGGATAGACACCTGTCAGGGATGGTCTAGGCAGTGCTGGGCCCTGCTGTGGGGGCAGGGGACTGGACTTGATGACTTCACTAGATCCCTTTCAGTTCTAGTGTTCTAGGATTAATACCCAACAGCGTTCCTCTCCACAGGGGAAACTGCGAGGAATCTGTGACATCACAAAAGAGTGTCTGATGGAGGAGAGAGGGAAGAATCGGTGTTAGTTACGGATCAAAGTATTGGCCTGTCTCATAACATCCCTAAAATCTGACATCTAGATTTGAGCCTTCACCAAAACTGCAGGCTTTGGTTCACACTCAAGCCACTAAGAAGCTGGTCCCACTCTGTCACAGGGACTTTGTATACCTACCTGGGTGCTCTGAGCTCTGCCAATGTCTGTCACCTCCAGCAGCAGCAGCACAGAAGCAAGAGTAGCAATACCACAACCTCTCTCCTCCCCCCACACACAATGGCCTTGCGACTGCCCCCAAACACCTTTGTGGGTCAGGACCCCAACAGTGACAACCTGCAATGTCAGACTGAAGTAGCCGGACTCATGAACTGTACCATTTTTAAAAAGCCCAGGGTTATGAAATTGACCAACATGGACCATGACTTTGGTAGGGCCCTGGCTTATGAAGGACGTGACCAAACGTCACTCTGCAGTGTACAGGCCCTGTCTGAGTGCTGATTTTAACAAGTGCATGTTAGACACCCGCGCATGACTTACCACAGCAGCAGAGCAAGCTGGAGCTAATGTCAAGCAGCTGTCATAAGAGGGCAGGAGGCAAAACATACGGATCTTTGCTGGGACTAAGGAATACCCCTAGAAAGCTTACAGATGTCACCCCATGCGGCTCTGAGTCTTTCCCAGCTCCTGCTCAGCCTGGCTAGTTCTAAGACCAGGGAAAGTGGATTTTACCCCCGCTCTCAATTTTCAGAACAGACCCAAACCACAACTGGGCTGCTGAGGTCAAAGTGGCTGCAGGTGCCACATCTCCTGGGGACAAGAGAAAAGCAGGGAACCCCCTGGACCTGGTGTGGGACCACCAGGAAGTCCTTCCCTTAGCAACCTTAGCAGGCCCACTCCAGCTCAGTGCAGAGAAACAGATGCAAGGAGACGGGGACAATGGGACTAGTTCAGAGGGTTGGCATAAAATGCTCCATCGCTTGGCTTGGTTCCGAGATCTGTGTCTCCCAAGGCGGAGCTGGGAGCAGGACAGGCCCTGCTTTGAGAGCCTGGCTCCCCTTGCAGCTGACAGAACCAGAGCAAGAAGCAAAGCCAGGCCGCGGCTGAGCAGAGCCCGTGAGGCACGAGAGAAGAAAACACTCGCCGAGCCGGGGACAAGAGTGAGAGAAGGGCAGTGACTAGGCGTTTGTGGGGTGAGTGTTGTGTGTATCACACCCGCCTTGCGCTTCATTCACAGTTAGTCACTGCTGGGAAGCTGCTCTCCAGGGGAAGTACAGAGCAGCAGCGAGGGCCCCGTCTGCCCTGCCTGGCCGGGCTTCGGCACTACACAGCCACAGCATGAGCGGGGCTGCACTCAGAGGCGAGGGAGTTTGGCTGCTTGAGAGGACAGCAGCGTGGTGGCCTCTCCGTGGCCAGGCCCAAGGGCTGGTCTTCCTCCTCCTGGCAGTTCCGGCTGGGGCGCTTTGCCCTCGCACGCCAGCGGGAGCTATCTTGCTGAGGCTGGCCCCTAGATGGGAGGTGGCAGCCATTTGGGCAAAGGGCAACACTTCCCGAGGAGGCAGAAATAAAATGCTCCCGTCTCGAGCCCGGACAGCCCCCAGTACCGCAACCCGGCCACGTTCCCTTCGTCCTGAGTGACGAGCACCTGGGGCTGCCCCATCAGCCTGCCTGGATGGGGCTGGTTCAGGGAGCAGCTGCCCAGCCCTTCCTGAGGAGCCGGCCTCTTTGAGGTCTCAAGAGGGGCGCCCAAAATCTGCCATCACTGCTCGAAATCTTGGCCTGGACCTCTCTGACTCAGTTCTCCCCTTGGTAAGAGCGGGTGCAATGCCTCCTTCCCCGGGGGGGTCCCAGGCTTGGTTACAGTTTACATAAGGGCCCCACTTTGTCAGCGCATAAACTCATAAGAACAGGAGAACGGCCGGACTGGGTCAGACCAAAGGTCCATCCAACCCAGTATTCTGTCTGCCGACAGTGGCCAGCACCAGTGCCCCAGAGGGGATGGACCGAAGACAATGATCAAGCGATTTGTCTCCTGCCATCTCTCTTCAGCCTCTGACAAACAGAGGCCAGGGACACCATTTTATCCCCTGGCTAATAGCCTTTTATAGACCTAACCTCCAGGAAATTATCTAGCTTCTCTTTAAACTCTATTATCAGGGCCGGCTCGAGCCCTTTTGGCGCCCTGGGCCCGGGCGTGCAGTGCTGCCCCCAGGCACAGGGTGCATGCGCAGGCCCACCCATGGGGCACGGGCCTGCCCCCGGGGCACATGGCATACACACGCGGGGGTACGCGGAGCATGCGCTACCCAGCCCAGCCCGGCCAGCGCTGCTGGCACACATGCCGGGCCGTGCAGGGCCCCACAGCCGTCGGGGGAAGGGCACTACTGGCCGGCACTGAGGGGCTGGTGCTGCAGGAGCCGGGCGCATGTCTCCTGATGGCATCTGTCAGGGACACCACGCGCCCCTTACAGCTGCCACTAGGTGCACCT